TTCAAACGGGGCCATTCTCGCACCAAAGCCTGCGCTGGTAGCCACTGCGCTCTATTCCCGAAGGGCATCCTTACACATTTGTTCTTTCGCAGACAGACCTTTTCCCCCCACCAGGCCGCAAGCTCCCAAAAGAGTGGGCCCACACCCTGACCTCTCTAGACACTTTGCACACAGCAGGTGCCCAACAGCTGTTTGTACGCCACAGGCTGGGTTCCAGAAAGGAGAGGAGGGGGTTGTGAGCTCCGCCAAAAGGAAGAGCCAATTCTCCACCCCCACCTCTCCACCCCCCAGCACAGCCCAGCTCCCTGGCGACTGCCCAAAGCCCCGGCCGTCATCTGCTCTGGGTAATAAGTATTTGTATGGCGATAATTACAGCATTTGGGAAGAAAATCCCATTAAGCAAGAGCCCTGCCGAGCTGCTAATGCCGGCACAGAACTGGAGGCGGCAACTCCGCCAAGCTTCGCTCTGCTCCCAATAATGCAGGAGCGGCCTGTCCTGCCGCCCCTCGTCCGGCCCCAAAAGAGCACGACCGCCCCTGCTGGCAGCCTCTGCGGCCTGGGCCACCCCGCCGGCCCCCTGCCTCGGAAAGGGGGCACCGAGGAAGGGGCATCGCCACCTCCAAGTGCTCCAGGGTTCCCAGGGGCTGCAGAGCACTGGGTGGCTGTGTGATGAGGGACGGGAGAGCGGGGCCCTGCTGGGACCCAGCATTGAGGGTGCCCAAGTTTCTTTTACGTCCCTGCAATTCTGTCACCTTAATAACAATAATAAAACCATTTATCGGGCACTTGCTGGGTGCCCGGCCCAGTGCAAAGTGCATTACCCGGCATCGCCGCATTTAATCCTCAGTCTCCCTTGGAAGGAGGCCCTGTCATCATCCCCGCTCTCGGGGCAGGGAAGTGGGGGTCCTGGGAAGTCACTTGCCTCCAGAGCACTCACCACAGTTTGCAATTACCATTTATTCTCATACTGTGTCATTCATCTGTATCTCCCCTGCTGGACAAAAACTGAGAGGGAGGGGGGCCGTTTCGATTTCTGTCCAGCACTCTTCACTCAGCCGAGGCACTTAATCTTCGCCTGTCAACCTGCAAAACTGTCATCGTCCCCTTTTACAGATGGGGAACTGGGTCTCAGAAAGGATGAAGGGCAGCACCGGGGCGCTACTACCGGCCATTGAGAGCTCAGCACTAAGCCCAGGCTACCTGCTACCAGAGACATGTGTCCCACCAGGAAGCAAGCCCCCTGCAGAGCATGCATTTCTGAGGTAGGAGACCACAGAGTCCCGCTCAGAGATCCCAGATCAAGCCCCGATGTGGCCCCTTGATTCCTCTCACTACAGACACCATCTGATCGTTGTCCGGAATTCCAAACAGGCTCCCAGACAATCAGCCTGGGTGTCCTGGTCAGTCTTCCTTGGGCACGACCACCCAGCCTTGTTGAACGGTGCCTCCAGACTCAGGGGGCTGAGCTGGGAAGACACGGCGCCCCCAGGCCTCTAGAGCAGACAGAGAGCTAGGGCAGTGGACAAACTGTCCGGGAGGCAAAGGGACATATGGAAGAAGGCAGTAGAGTGGGCACCCCTGGCCGGAGGAACAACAGAGTATGCAGGGCCTGGGGCAGAACGGGAGCCGGCAGGCGGGACTCGCCCCTCTCTGCGCCCTGCACCTTTAAGGGGGGTCTGGGGCAAGCCTCAAATACGATTGCCCAGGGAGCAAAGGAGAAGCTGTGTCCATGCACGCTCTCTCACCACCCTCTCCTGAACACTCCAAGCCAAAAGAAGTGAAAGTCGAGGTCCTCGAGCGGAAGGAAAGACAATAGTGGCCGTGGCTGGGTCTCTCTGAGCCTCAGTTCTGCAAAGAGATAAGCTTCCAGGCCTCCTCCGGCCCCCACCCCCCAAACCTTGCTTGGTATTTTAGTTGTTCCATGGCAGTGAACCGTTCAGCACTCTCCCCCACCGAGCCCACCAGCCCCGCAGCCCCGCAGCCCCGCTGGCTCAAGCAATGTCCTCAGCAGCCTGGGGACCTGCCCGCACAGCCTCTTCGCAGAAGTCCCTGCAGCAAACCTTTGACAATTTCTCCCCACTTTGGGGGACAGGCCTGGGGGAGAGGTATGGACTATATGATCATAAAGTTGCTGGCCTCGTGGGCTGCTGTGGAAACTGCCCAGAGGACAACAGGCAAATGCACAGCTGCCATTTATTAAAATTTTGCAGCCTCAGAAGAAGCTGGCGGTTAACGTTCTGATGCTGTACGATACTCACATTGACTACAGAGCATTTGCCAAAGTTAGTGTCCACCTGGGCTCGGCCCAAGGCCTGTTCTTAGGGTGTTCTTCTCCTCCTTAAATGGCCCTTTTGCAGCCTGCCTGGTGACAAGGCAGGCTCTCTCTGCTTTCTACATCCTTTCCCAGTCCAAGAAGTTTTGCCCCACAAAGATCAGATTCCCCCTAAGATAACTCACCCCTGTATTCCAACACTGAAGTCCCCAAAGAAAAAAGTCCAGGTAGAGAAAGGCCTTTCTGACCCTTCCCAGCCTTCCCAACCTCAAGTCCAATCACATGCCACCGGACACCGCCTGTCTCAGCCCCAGGGCACAGCCAGTCCACTGGCCCAGCAGGCCCGGCACGCTCCCACCCGCGGGCCTTTTGCTTGTGCGTTTCTTGTGTCTGGCCACCTGCCCTTCCTGCTTGACAGAATCCAACCCAACCACTGCCGAGAACCAAAGTGCCCTGATAAAATGGCCTATCCTCTGAGAAGTCCTTTACCCCAATAAAGGGCTTCTCATCTCAATGCTGCTGCCTACAGCCCCATGAGCCGTGCGCCCGGCCCTCTCCCAAAGGTTCACAGTGAGGTGTCTCCTGCCAGGTCCCCTCAACTGTACCTCCCTGAGGGCAGGGACTTGCTCCCTCTCTGCTGGAGCTCTAGCACCCAGGGCAGTTTCTGGCTCTGTAAAGATGTGCTGAATTAAATTACAAGACTCTTCCCCGGATCCTACTGCAAGGATGGCTCTCACTGAGTAAGCATCCTAGTGAGCCAGGCACTCCCCACACGTTACCTTCAGTCCTCACAAGATCCAGAGACCTTATGTACCAGAAGCCGCATTTTCTTCATAGGAAGCAACTGAAACTCAGAGAAGTTAAGTAACTTGTGCGAGGTCACAAAGCAACTAACTGACAGAGCTGGGGCGCCGGCCTAGGCAGTTGCAGCCCCAACACCTTCCTCTGCACTGGGAAATTTAACATCTCTTTTAATCACAGAAGAAGAGCTCAAGAGTTCATGAAAGTCAAAACACTCTCTTCAAAACTAAACATGAAGAGAGAGCAAGGAATGAGATGACTTCAAGATTCAGATCCAAAAGCAAAGCAGAGGGGCTGCTGTGTCTCAGCCCTAAGCTGCTACCAGGGTAACAGCTGCAGGAGAAATGCCCCACGGACACAGCCAAGGAACAGAGTCGGCCCAGAGGGAACAGGTGTGGAGGGTGGCCCTGCAACCTCAGGGGTCTTCTGGGCAGATTTTGGCTCTCAGCCCCTCTCCAGGGCCACACAAAATAATGCACAGGTGCCCCAAGCAAACACAGTTTGGTCCAACTTATCCCCACAGCAGCATCTTTCCCAGGCCCCCACACACGCCCTCACACACACATTGATTCCATTTAGATTGCATCTAGATTGCAAATTCTCTGAAGCCTCCATGGGAATCTTTCAGACTCGGCCAGGAAGAGTCTGGAGCAAAGTGTGCTCACTAATTGCTGACCTCGGTACAGACTCTGATGCAGGAGACAGCTCTCCCCAGGGTCTGGTTTCTGCCTCTGACCAGCTGGGAGGCATGAAAAATGTGCTCAAAAGTTAGCGAAATATGTATGCTTTTCCTGGGAGCCACTGCAGTTGCCCAGGATGTGGGAAGGAGGAGTAGGCAGGTTCCAAAGGCAGCCTTCTCCAAAGTCCAGTTCAAAAATCTCCCCAGTCTGTCACCTCTGCAAACAGCACAAAGGCCCTGCATGTGACCAAAATCTATACACACGGCCATGTACAGGGACTCTTGCACTGAGGCGACACCACTACACTAGGAATTCACACAGATACACATTACACATTCTGCAGGGAATCCAGGAAAACAAATTATATAGGTTTGTAAACACACACACACGCTAACCATCTACACACACACACACACACACACCCCCTTACAAATCTCAGAGGGTCTAGAAAGAATTCAGAACTAAGAGAGACGGGAAGAGAAATGGTGTTTTGCGATTTGTCATGGTCAATGTCTGCAACCTCATGTCTCCCTCTCCAAACCCCTGACCTCTCAGCATGATTCATGGGGCTCTTGGCCCAGGTTGTACCTACCGCTCTCTGGGTGCTTAACGTAACACACCCTGAGCCCCAAACCCAAATCTCTTGGGTCCCATTGTCTGACAGGGTTGGGGCTCACTGGATGTGAGGTGGGGGGCCAGTGCTGGGCACCTGCCAGGGAAGAATTCTTAAGGCTCCGGGGCAAACAATGGGAAGAAAGGGAAAAACGAAAAATTTCAGCTCCATCCCATCTTGCCACCCATCAGCAGCCTGCAGGCTCTCAGAGCCCACATCCACGCACCCTTCTCAGAACACAGCTCAAGCCACACGTGCCCAAAAGGAGACATGGTCCCTGACAGAGTGAGGAGCTTCCCTCCTGGGTGCCAGGAAGGCTTTCTGGCACCAGTTCGCAGGCACCCTGGGGGAATAAAGTGCGGGCACAGCGGGGAGGACTGCCAGTGCTGAACGCGCTGTGCAGGTGTGAGGATGGGCGCTGACAGCCCCGCAGAGGGTCCTTTGAATCCCGGGAAAGAAAAACAGTGGCTCTCCTGGCTCCTGGCTCCAGAAGGACCCTGGCAGGCACTGACCCTTCTACTGGCTGCGGAGCCCGGACCCAACGGTCCTGCCCCCACCGGCAGCCCTGAATTGCGTCTGGGTGGGAGGGCAACGTCGGGGCTCCCTGCGGGCTAGGGCCGAGTGCAATACTCACAGGCGCTCGGTGTTCCGTGGGATGTTCTTGGGGATGGCCTGCAGCCCCGTGCCGTGACAATCCACCGTGGTACCGGTGCAGGTGCAGAGGGCAGGGCATGCTGTGGCACCCAGGCGCCACGCGGCTGCCCACAGCAGCAGCCAGAGCTCCGGCCGGACGAGCCCTACTGAGCACACCCCCCGGGGCATCAGCGCCATGGTGCCTTCGCAGCGTCCCTCCAGCGTGCCAGACGACGGCAGCCGCTGACCATCCCCGTCTGGGGCGGCCTCCAGGTGCAGTCCCGGGGCAGAGCCACCGAAGAGACTGCCGGCTACTGCGCTGCGCCCTTGCGGGCTGGGAGGCACCTTGCTCCTCCAAGCGACGGCGCCTGTGCAGAGGGCTCTCGGCTGCTCTCCGGTTTCTCGCTGGCTGCGTCTCCCTCCCTCCCTCCGGCTCCCAGCAGACCGCTGAGAGGAGGAAAATGGGCAGGCCCCGCGCGCTCACGCACCCCGCGCGCGCACACACACACACACACAGTCACACACACACAGTCACACAGTCTCACACCCGCACGCTCGCTCCCACCCAGCAGTCATCCATCAATCGAAAAGCACACATCAGGGCCAGACTCCTCCCCGCCCTCCCCCGCACACCCCCTCCCGCCCCCGCCCCGCTGCGCTCGCGGCTGCTGCCAGCAGCGTACAGTTTCAAAGGTGGAATCTACAAGGCGCCGCGAGAGGGCAGGGGGCTGAGTCTTGGGGGGGTTGACTCACGGTTCGACCTGCCGGTCCTGAACCTCACCGGACACACACACACACACACACACACACACACACACACGCACACGCGAGCACACTTAGTCGCGAGCACCGGGCACCCGCGGCCCCTGCTGCTGGTCCAGAGGGGGACGGGAATTTTATTTTGCCGCCTGGCCCCCTTCCCCTGGGCCAAAGACACAAGCTTTCCTCGACGGCAGAAACTGCTCCTAGGCCCTATGGAACTTGCTTTGTCAGTTCACGGTGAAAGGAAGCCCCGCACACCCAGGTGGTTATCTACAAGCCACCTACCTTACTGAGGGCAGAGTGGGGTGGGGGGGCGGGGCGGGGAGCCAGGTGGCTGGGACAGAGCGTGGTTGGACTCAGAAGGCCTAGACCAAGTACAGTCTCCTCCCTTCCCTCAACATATCCACATTCTCTGCCAAGGTGGAACACACAGCTAGTTGCCCCCACCCCCACCTCCCAATGAGAATGGCCAATGGGCTATGATGGCTTCCCAGGTGGTAGGGAGCAGGTTATCAGTGGGAGTTAGAAATCTGCCATTTATCTTCCTCTGGTCACCCCAGTGTTCTCCCATTTCCAACAGATAAAAACACTCAGTCCTGTCTGCAAAGGACTGCAGGAAGGGATGGAAGGGGCCTGGACGGCCTGCCTGGGAGAGAAGCACCACAGGGCCGCCCTGTCAGACCCTAGGCCCTACACTCCCTTTGGGCAGGGACTTAATCAGTCTAAAGCAGGTGTGAACAGAAAATCCAGGTGGGGAGAGAATCATCCTCAAGTCAGAAAAGATAAGGACCTCCCAAAACCAAGGACAGCTGTGGTTTCCTGGTAGTCCACAGGACCCAGGCGTCTCTTGGCCGTCGGTTGGCACCCCGATTCCAGGCCGCCTACAGCCTGGCAAGAAGAAACAGCTGAGCAGCTCAAGAACCGCCTCCCCTCACAGGAGTTGGCTTCCCGGGGTTTCTTCTTCGGAGAAACCAGAAAGAAAGGCGGCTGGTCCCAGAGGTGCCGGGGTCCGCACAGCTTGCCTGAGGCGGGTGGTGTGATGCTGATGGGGCTGTGCAAAATCAGTAGAGGCTCTGGGTTTTTCTTTGCCATCCTGATGAAAATTTTGCAGTATCTCTATTGTCAGCACATACCGTGTGGCCAGTAAGTCGCAGCTACTGTGGCTGACTTTGTGGGCTTTGGACAGTCCTTCTGAAAGTTTTCACATACTGCTGTCCCTAGCCTCCATCCAGGGCCATCGGCTCTTAAGCATCAATTCAGTGGCAACTGGGGGTGTTGGAGGAAGGGACTCCCCCAGGGGTCTCTGTGGGTGTGGTCTTAGAGGAGCTTTCCACAAATCCAGCCAGAGCTCCCGCCTGCCAGGGCCTGCTCTCCTCTGTCCCTCACAAATTCCTACTCAGGGCACTCAGCCCCCACCCCGCCATCCCCCCCAGCTGCCTCGGCCAAGTTAAATCCTCATTCCTCGGAGGCTGCCACTTCGTTTATCCCCTCTTAGCTGGGGCTCTGTTTACACACGTGGCTCCTTCCCTGACACCCCTCCTGGGGCCAAGCCTCCAACACATGGCTTCCTCACTTCCTCACTGAGGCACTTAACCCAGCACCTGGCACTTAGTAGGCCTGTCACAGACGGCACTTGGACTGTGGAAGACGGCTGGTCTCCAACCTTTTGCTCCAGTGGTGGGTGCTTCCCTCGCCCCATGACCTCAGAAATCTCCTGGAAGCCAGGACCCATGTGGGGAAGAGGGAAAGTGTTGATTAACCTGGCAATACACCCTGGGGGTGCAGAGAGGCAGGGTGAAGGGGCGGGGGGCGGGGGGGTCGACTGGGCAGGGGGCTGCATCATCAGCCTTGGCCCTGCCTGTGGCTCCTGAGAGCCAGCCACTGCCCTAGAACCTTCCAGACTAGCCTGGACGGTGAGTCCCAAGCAGGCCTGAAGCCAAGTCGTCACTGCCTAGCCAGGCCTGGCCTTTGCTTTAAAGTAGGGAAGGAAGGAAGTCCCCCTCAAACCCAGAACAAGGACTCCCCCACCAGCCCGTCACGGGGAGGCCCTGCCCCAGCAGCCGGGCAGCTTCTCAACTTGGCTCCCATTTCCAGTTCCTCCACCCCAGAATCTGGCCAGCTCCCCAATTTGGGAGGCAGCTCGCCATGAATGGATGCAGCTCATTAGCGTTCCCAGCACATTATACTCGATAAACAACGGCCTGGCCAGCCGCACACCCCAACCTTCCCCCAACCCCCGCCCCTGCATGTTCAGTTGGCTCTCCCATGCCCCTCCCTCTGTGGGGTCTCCCTGCCCCCTCCCTATAGCCGGGCCACCTGCTCCCTCTGCAGGGGTGGGGAAGAGGCGGGCCTGTCACACTGCATCTGCCGGGAGTGCTCCGCCGAGCCCCACTCTGCCCACTGGCCACCAGCAGGCCACCCCCCCAGAAGGATTCTTGGGGCTGGGTCTCCCCATCCATGGGTACGAGCCTCCCCCGAGTTCCCTCAGCCAGGCTCCGTGGGCAGCCTGCTGCCGGCGACTCCGGGAACCGCTGCCCTCCTCCCAGCCTCCTGCTCTGGGTCCTCTCCTCCATCTCCGCCGCCCTCCTGAAGCACCAGGAACACAGAGGGCCTGAGCGAGGCTGCAGAGTAATGTGGTTTAGTTTCTAAACTGCAAAAGGCAAGAATGAGACAAAACGCCTGCACCTGAGCATTTGTTCAACACCATTTATTGAGTATTTATGTACCACATACACTGTGCTGGGATTGCACAGGGAATAAAAACAGACCTGGCCCACAGTGAGCTCATAGTCCCACAGGGAAACAGAAGAAAGAAAGCCACTCAACACAATTAGTTCGGTAACAGGGAGTGTAGGCTTGCAGAGAATCAGAACGTGGGGCTCCGTGTGGGGCTCTGTGTGGGGCTGGAAGGCTCCTGGGAAGAGGAAGCACTTGAGCTGAGTCTTGAAGGATAAGCAGGCATTGGATGGATAGCAGAACAGGAAGAAAGGCTTTCTGGGCAAAGAGAACTGCAGGAGGTAAGGCACAGGGACAGCAGCAGCATCCTCAGAGGCCGAGGTCAGCAAGGCAGGGGTCCGGGTGGACGGAGTGGGCTGAGGTCAGAGAGGTGACGAGGGCACATCCCAGAGGTCTGGTGCAACCGTTCTCTGCCTTTGCCAGACTTGTAGAATCCCCTGGTCTGTCCCCGCACTCAAGCACATGCCTGCATATGTGTGCACTTACAAAGCAGTATCCCCACAACCAGTGACAGTGGTGGCTTCCAAGGAAGGGACTGAGTGGTGGCAGGGGGACCGTTTCAGCATACACTTTTTCCCTGTCGTTTGGATTTCTTTACACCTATAGTATGACCTAAGTCCCCACAACCACCAATACATTTGAAAACATCCCCTGGAGTGCTTATTGTAAATGCCGATTCCCAGGACACACCAAGACCTTCTTAATCAGAATTTTCAGTTAGCAAGTTGGAAGGGAGGCGGGGTGGTTTCAGGGACCACGCTCTAAGAATCAAGGCCTGGTAGGCTGAGTTAATGAGTTTCAACTTGAACCTGAAAACTCTGGGGAGCCTTTGAAGGAAGAGGCCTGGCAGGGACAGAGGTCTAAGGCCTGCCTGCCTTCCTCTCCTCCAGTTTCCACACACTGTTAGCAAGCAGGAGATGCATCAAAGAGAAAGAGAGCCACGGGGAGGGGGCGGGGAATGAAGAGGAGGGGACAGAGCCATGTGACACTGGTGCACAGTAACTTCAATCACAAGATGTCAGGGCTGGAAGGGGATAAAGAAATGAACAAATCCAAATACCACCATACAGCCGGTGGCCCACAGAAGGGGAGCAACCAGCCCACTCGGCAAAGGAGTTGTCAAGGTGAGCCATGAGTGAGTCTGGGTCTTGCTCCCCTAGGCTACATGCCTGGGTAGAACACAGCATCTAACCCACCAAGGACCTACCACCCCCATAAGGACTGAGAAACGAGGAATAGCTGGGAGGTCGTGCCAGCAAGACTCGGGATATTTTAGGTTTAATCTCTAAACCCCATGATGTCCTCAAATTTGGAGAAGGATGGACTGCTTGAGAATCTCAATGACAAAGTTCCACCATATGTGTCCAGGACAATTCTGGCAGATCAGAAGCACTGGGAGCAAGAGAGAAGCAAAGAGGAGAGAGGAAATAAAAAAGGAAAACGAAAAGCAGAAAACAGGGCAAGAGAGTCTGTGCAGGTAGCAGTTTGCTCGTTCATTTATCAAACATTGATTACATGCCAACTGTCCCCAGGCATTAGTAAAGTAAGAGATTTTTGCTTGGGCTTTGTTGGGCTTCTTATACCTTATTTATAGTTGTCATCAAATTTGGAAATTTTTCAACCATTATTTCTTCAAAAATGTCTATGTCCCCTTCTCTTTTTTCTCTCCTTGGGGGACACTACTAACACCTGTATTAGGC